ATAGTTGTAGGTGAAACGTAGCCACAATGGGACTCTGTTGAAATATTGTAGGGGGCGCCGTTGAGCCGTGTTGCATTTTACAGCTTGGCCGAAGCCTGACTTTTTTGTTCGTCCTGACCAGCTCTATATGCCTATGAAATTGCGTAGTTCTAGGTCAAACGTGCTTCCGACAGGACTCTGGCGAAATTTTCAAGGTGGCGCTGTGGAGCCATTTTGGCAGTGACATGTCCAAGTCCATTAAAATATAAAAATTTTCGCCAGTCCTGATGTGTGTGGCGATTTTGGTGAGTTTTCGAGCATGTTTAGGCCCTCAAAAACGCGTGTCTTTGTCGCGAAGAATAATAATAATCTGAGCAGTTCCAATAGGGTCTTCGCACCCTTTTGGGTGCTCGGACCCTAATAATCACAAGGGTTTCAATAGGGTCCCTGCACCGTTAGTGCTCGGACCCTAATAATAATCACAACGATTACAATAGGGTCCTTGCACTGGTGTGCTCGGACCCTAAAAACAAGAATATTTCCTAAGATTGTGTGCACACTAGAGCTGCATTTTCCACCTCTGACTGTCGGGTATAAATCGTAAAACGTTGGTGTTTTAGTGTCGACTGATGTTCTATTTATACAAGACGGAAACAGCTCCATGGTGACACCACCCATTGGTGGTTGGACTACCATTGTGAAGGCTCAAGTCTGGCATCAAGCCATCTCCCTCTTGGTCTGGACGAAATGGTTCAGCCATGGATGTGACTGGCCAACCGGAGTGTACAACATGTAAATCACAAGGTGCTCCCAACCTACATCTACTTCCCTCTAAACAGAAACATTTACAAGCTGAACATCTGCCGGATTCGGAAAGTCTTAAAACTAGCAATTTATTAAGAAAAAGGTTATTAGAAAAAAGACTTCTACACAATCTGGCTTCTTTTTGTTGCACCTCGCTGGCCATTGAAGACTGGTTGATTGTGTATGACAGTCAAAACATACAAGTCAGCCTGTCAATGTAAGGGGGCTGTGTGCTGTGACCTTAAGGCCACGTTTAGTCTGTGATTGCTCATTTTAACTCCCCATATAGCTCATCATTAATCTGTATGAATGTTTTTTTTTTGGTCAGATTATATCATCTCCTCTCCTCTTTATATATATGTGTATGTATGTATATGTTTATATAGTTGTATATCACCATTACATATGACTAACTCTGTGACTCCCCTGAGGTTCTCCTGCGCCTGTTCTCTCGGTGGATGTCTCTGGATCTGGAGCTCCTGAACTACAGCCGCTGCCTCACCTTCTGCATTCTGCTGCCCCCACCATGATGCCCCCTGTTACCTCCACCAACTACGAAATGGAATATTTCATTGTTCCATTTGAAATGGAGGAACAATAGGACAATAACTTCTAATAACTTATTTAACTGTACACTAAATTGTATAATTCATCCCACATGCACCCAACCGGTGAAGTCAGATGGCCGTCCGTCCCTGAGCCTGGTTCTGTCGGAGGGTTTTTTCCCCCCGCGGGGGTTTTTGGTTCCTTCCCACTGTTGCAGACTGCTTGCGGACTGCTGAAGCTTATAGGGAATCCAAATGTTTTGGATTGTTGGGTGTTTCTGCCTTTGTTAAGCGCTATGAGATGACTTGTTGTTGTAAATATGGGCCAAACAAATAAAATTGAATTGAATTGAATCATAATCATCAAATGTGCATGTGGTTCGCCAAACTGCCACATGCCTCACTACATGTTTGTGTGCAGTTTTCCTGTTCTTCTTCCTCATCTCTATGAAAACCACCTGGACATGTGGCTGCAGTCCTGTTCATCTCAGTGTGTATGCAACTTCAGTGGCTGGTATTATGTTGGCACTGCATTTGTTGTTAGCCAGGAACCTTTTTCGTCCCCTTATAAAAGAATTCCAAGATAACAAATAGGTGCCAAGTTTCATCTTTTTCTTTTACCTTTGTTTGAAATCCTAACTCAATACTTCCTGATTATCCCGGAGCTCTAAAACAGAATTATTGTCCTTTTTTCATGTTTTGGCTTTGACTGACTCAGCCTCTGTTCCCAGTTCTCCTGCCTTGCCTGACCTCCCTACTTGGCCTCCTATCTCCTTGGGTTCTCCTGTACCTGGCTCTCCTCGCTGCCCTGCTCAGCTTGGCTTCTATTCGACAGCCCAAACCCTCACTCCAGGTTTCTGCTGCCTCTGAATACATGTTCTGGCTGCATTCCAAATCAACCACTTCTTCTTGTTACTTAAATGACGGTTACCCTTATAAAGCATGTACTGCTCTGATGCAGTATGCTTACATTGAGACATACTACTTAGTCATAATTATGCACCTTAAACTTTGTCATCTGTTGGTGCCTTTCAGAGAATAAAGCTTGTCTGTAATCATGTGAGACACCATGATGTATCTGACATAACTGCACAGAGGATTGTGGGTCAAAATGGCCTGAAACATATGTTGGCTTGCATACTGCAAAGTTTGACTGGATGCAGAAGGACATCAGGGCGTTTTTGACATACTATGCATTCTTACATACTAAATCTTATAGGTTACAGTAGTGTGAATGTGTGGAACAGCCTCTCTGTTGAGCTGTTCCTCCTACCTCGGTGCCTGCACTGGGCTCACCTTCTTTCCCGTGACAGTTTAATGCGTGCAGCCATTTTGTTTGGCTTAAACAGTGCAAGAAGAGAAGTCCACGGTCCTTGTTGGAGTTAACACATTTGCGTACTGACAGCTGCACAGCATTTGACTAGCTTTCAATATCGTATGCTATAACTGACACACAACAACTTGTGCACCGGCAATATGTTCTGAGTGAAGTTTGTGCTGCAGAATTTCTAGTCTGGGAGCTTGATTGTGTAGACACAAACTGTCATAATGAAAGAGTGTCTGGTATTGAATTGTAGGCATTAATACACATAGTGTCTGTTACAGCCCTGAGGGACAAACATGTCGACTCAGTGACATCCACCCTAACAACAGCTGTCGATATCAGGACGACCTGACTTCATTTCTCTTTTACTTTTGTTAAATGATGAGACAGGTTTAGCTGTATTATGTTAGCTGGTTTAACTACTGCCAAAAAATTAGCTGCCATATGCTGCAGTAGGATTGATCACTCATACAAGTTTAAACACACAAAACACAATAAAAACAGATTTTCATTAGATGAAATGTATTGTAGGGACGTTACTGATAATTTGTTTACTGATTAATGGCTCTTAATCAGGCAAAAAATAATAAGTAATTTGTCAGAGGGTGAGTGACATGGAGTTTAACTGTCGGTTAAGCCTCTGGTGCAGCCTCTTCCTGTTTAATAAGATGGATTTACAGCCGCTCGCTGACCATGAAGCACAAAGCAAGTTTGACTGCTAACTGGACCAGTTGGTATATAAACTGGTATATGGTGGACACCCAGACTGGGAGCTGAGAGCAGCTACAGCTGTTAATGCTGTTCATGCTCAGGAGCAGCAACAACATACTTCTAGCAACAGCAACAGAACTAAAATGATGAAGTACATTGGCATCACTCTGCCCTGAGTACACAAACATTTTAGAGGTGGCAGTCTTGCAACAGTACTTTTAGACATCTGTACCAGCTGCTTCCAGCAGCTGGACTAGTGTTAATTATAGTGAACAAGTCGCTCCATGTAGATCAGATATGAGGAGAGAGATGGTGTACTTCTTCCTTTTAATTTATTATTGATCGTTAACATGGCCGACTGCCGGTCAAGGAAAATGCTAAAGCTTTGCATTCCTGATACACTGCATTTGATAAATGCAAAGCCACAGTGACTGAAATAGAGCCCTTACTATTCACTGTTTCTCAAATACTGAATGAAAAAGTGATTTTGGACTTTGGTTATTTTGAGATGTAGTTATTCACAATCACTGCAGAACAGTGTGAGTACGTATGCAGAGCGCATACTGTATTCCTCACCGTGGTGAGTTGAATCCACTGTCGACAGTGACAGAGCTGGAGTCCATGCTGTCCAGTCTAGCAGAGTGTGCCGATTGCTGGTTCTGACTGGGCTCGGAAAGGTTCTCTTTAGCACCAGGGAAGGTGAGGGTTCTTTCAAACCTCCTCTGCAGATCCCTTTCCTTCTCCCTCTCCAACAGCCACTGCATGGTCCCTGCTCCACCTCCTCCCATCCCAGAAACACTGCCTCCAGGCTTCTCGTCCTCTCCTCTGTTTTTACCTCCCCCCTCCTCCAGTTCGTCATCATCCGAGACATTGTAGTAGTCAAAGGAGGCTTCTGCAGCGCTGGATGTGGATTCAACTCCCTGTGGGGGAGCAGATGATGTTGCCACTAGGGGCTTGGGAGCATCAAAGGCCTCCTGGCAATCCAGAGCGTCACAGGATGAAGACAAAGTAGAGGAGGCAAGGGCTGTGGGTTTCCTCAAAGAACTATAGCCGGGCAAAGGAAGGCTAGGAGGAGGTTTAAACAGTGTATCTTTACTAAAGATCTCCTTCCGTTTCTCCTGACCAGAGGAGGCACTGTGGGGAGGTCGTCCATTAGAAAGGGGGGGCTCAGGGACAGAAAGAGGTATTGGAGGCAGGCTACCACCCTTAGGTCCCACCTTTGGCAAGTCCTCCTTACTTTCTGGTGGATGGGATGTTTGTCTATCTATTTGCCTGTCAGTCGTTTGCCTGTCAGTGCTGCCTGGTTTTAATCCATCGTGGCTGTTTTTGCCTAGAGTTCCCAACGGGTTTGCTCCTGTGAGAATTGCCTCAGAGGAACCAGAGCACTGAAAGTAATCATCAGGAGGGATTGAGGCAGCCAGTGGTTTGGGTGAGTACACTGGTAGGCTGTCCCTGCTCTTACTGTTCTCTAAGTTCCTGCCACCGTCCAACCCAAGAGCATCCCCAGGCACCTTAGTGGAGGGGGGGGTGGCACGAGAGTAGTGAGAGGAGCTCTGATTAGCTCGCAGGGTGCCGTCGTCAGTATAGTAACGGCTTCGGTCATCATAGTAATCAGGTGGTCCAATCAGTCCAGCTCCAAGCGGTCCTTTAGAGTTGTCCATAGATCTGGAACGTTCCTTGGCCTTGTCGCTGCGTTCGTTCCGAGATTTCCTCTCCTGGGTGTGGGAGTGTGAGCGGTGGACTTTTGAGTGGTGGGCTGATGGGCCATGGCTCGGCTCGGGGAAAGGCATTTCTGTGCGACGCTTGGCAAGCTCTCCGGATACATCCCATTCTGGTGTGACGGGCAGGTGGGAGGAATCAAGGATGTTGGGGTTGCTGTGTGCCAGGTGAAGGCGGGCCCGTTGCCGCTCCATCGCCAGGGCTTGCTCTCTCGGTGACCGAGCCAGTGAGGACGAGTAGCCTCTGTAGTCTCTTTCAGCCAGCTCTAGGTGGGAACTGTCACTCGGCTCACCTCGGGATGCCCTGGTCTTGCTATGTGAGCGGCTGAGTTTGGTCTGAGATTGCTTTCTATGCCTACCTCCACTTCTTCTACTCCTGGAGCTCTGATTGGCTGATGAGGCTTTGCTCCTCTGAGCACGTTCTTCTTCAAGACGCTTCATGACCGCTGTGTGCCGCGCGAGGTTCTCCACAGTAAGGTCAGGGTTGATTCTGCGGATGATCTCCATCTCTACGTGACGTGGCAGCTGGCTGGGCACCTCCTCGTCACGGAGCGGCCATTCCTCTGGGGGGAACTGTGCAGAGAAGGTGGCAAGCTGCTTGGCCTTGTCCTTCTTAAAACTGAGACGAAACAACTTTAATCCAAACTTTCGACTTCCTGCACCACTTCCTCCTCCTTGTTTCTCTATGTCTCCAGTTCCTCCGGCCCCCCCGACCCCACCTCCTCGGTGCTTGGTTAGCGTGTCCGTCTTGAATGGGAACCCAAGGGTGCTGCGGCTCTTTTCGGTGTTGCCTCCTGCCTGCTGAGGAGGTGTTTGTGGGGAGTGTGGTGACGAGTACACCTCCCGGTGGTCTTTCGGTGATCTGCGCTGCAGGGTGGTATGGTGGCTGGGGGGGTCTTCTCCACGGTAACTGCTGTTGTAAAAAGAATCCCCGACTCCTCCACTGTGGTTCTGGCTGGACTTTGGGTGTGCTCGATCACGCACCGCTCCAGAGGTAGATGGGGTAATGGTGCCAGAGAGAGGGGAGGTGCACTGTGTCTGCTGATGCTGCTGTTGGTTTTGATGTTGGTGTCGCTCAGCAGATCGCTCATCTAAGTGGTACCACTTAGAACTAGTTCGGATTAGACTTGGAGTGATGAAATAGGTCTGAGGGGTTACGATAAAATATCCATCGGGCGTTGGGTAGATCTTCCGCTCACGGACCAGCATGCTCAGCGTGTGGTGCAGAACCTCCTCTGTTGGCGTGGGAACACCTGAGCAGAACCAGAGACAAGAAGCAGTTAGAGCAGTGATGTTTCAAACAGGCCTTGTTATATATGTTTTCATCATTTCATTATTACATTTGCAGTTATTTTGTGGTTTTTCACCGTATTTTGTAGAACAAATAAATATATAGAAACATTACGCGATACAGAAAGATTGTAATGCTTCCAAACAGAGCAACATACAGCTTAGAAGTATTTCAAACTCAGTTGTGGTGCTTCCAACTACTATAGATGACTTTCAAATATGTAGATTTGTATGATTCAACCACCCTTGGAAATTTTCCCTTTTTATTGCTTTTCAGCATCAATTTAAAATGACAACAATTTCAAAACAAAAACAAGAAGAAAACAATTTCATGTCAAAACTAAAACAGAATCATACAAAGCAATGCGGCTTAATTAAAAATGGAATATGTTAAAAGGTGACTGCATAAGTCTTCACCCCTTTCTAAGTGACTCTACAGGTGCAGTCAGTTGGTGCTGGACGTCACACAATCAGTAACATGTAGATCATGTGAGTGCAATCAGTGTGTCTTATGTCACTACAGTATGAAGCATGTCTATGTGGAAGGTGAATGAGTAGTCCTAGTTGTAACTACAACATGAACACTCCAAACAACTCTGAAAAAGCTTACTGACAATCTCCAGTCAGGGGATGGATACAAGAAAAGACATTTCAAGACATGTCACTAAATATCTCCTGTAGTTAAATCCATCTCCCTTAAATCATCAAAAATATTTCAGCCAAGTAAAAAGTTGATCTAATAATCATGTAATTACTAAAAGCTCTTGGCCTTTATCAGGAAAATGGATGCATTACAAAGTACATAACTTTGAGTTTACCAACCGGTTCTGGTCTGAGAAGCCACTACACTTCAATCCTTTGTGCATTTTTTCCCCATTCTTATTTAATGTGTTGTGGATGAGAAGTCTGAGGTACCGAAGTCAGATTCTCTAAATGCTGGGGAAAGGTTCTACAATGCTTCCTTTTTTTTTTTTTCAAAAAAACCTCCGTTAGCATAGCATACGGTGGATAATCCATGATGAAAGTTCCTTGTGGCCTTTCAGCTGTTCACAGAAACAAACGTAAAACATGACCAATCATGTAAGTTACTATGGCATTTTCCATCCCATGCTAAAATATATAACTTATATAACATCACATATTATATTTTCAACTTTAAACAGTATGTCTGTGTAGGTTGTCAGTCAGCCATTCATTATCTCTCTCTTAATCCTCACTAGGGTCGTGGGGGGCTGGAGTCTATCCCAGCTGACTCAGGGTGAAGGCAGGTTCACCTGGACAGGTAACCAGTCTATCACAGGGNGAGAGAGAGAGAGAGAGAGAGAGAGAGAGAGAGAGAGAGAGAGAGAGAGAGAGAGATTTCCTGGGGGTCTAAGTTCCTGTTTGTGTCCGTCTGTGTCTACATGTTTGTGTGAACAATTCCACAGCAGACCTGTCGCAGCTCCACTGATTCAGTCACTCTGTCAGTCTAGAGATCTAACAGTCCTTGGAAACGGGACTCTGATTTCCTGGCCCTTGTCCATTGGCTATGCGATCTGCCCAGTCCATGTTTCTGACTCTAGACGCTGGTGATTGATGCAAGGCAGGCGCTGGGCTTCTGGAGTTTCTCTGGTTGGGTGCCGGCGGGTTCCTGAATGGCACGAAAGGAGAAAGGAGGACCGTTCGCAGCGTTGATGCTGAGGTGGCCGGGGCTCAGTGCCAGGTTCTGTCGTCTGTTGCTCTCCACTATGGAAGAGGTGTTGGACGCTAAGCTTTCCCTTGTTCTGCAGAGAGACAAACACACACCGATCAGTGACACAAGCACAACATCAGAGGAGGTGCGTGAAGCTGCTGTTTCTGCTGGAGACAGTGAAGAGGAAACCAATGACAGCACTTTATACTCTGCAAGATTCAGACTCAGGCTGTCACAGCACAGGGGATTACCTGCTCACCCATACCATGATTCAAATTATGATTGCTTTAATGCAGGGGTCTCAAACTCGTGGCCGGCGGGTCAATTGAGCCCCGTGGGACGATATTTTGTGGCCCCCTACTTGACATCAAAGTTTAAGTTGAGGGTCTCAATTGCTTCCTCCCTCAAGCCAAACGTGGCTCAGCTGTGTAAGAGGAAGTGCTGCTGGGTCTCTGGTAGCAAGGAGTAGGTAAGAGAAGCCTATGTTCTGAAGAATCATTCATGTTCTGAATTGTTATTAATAAAGATTGAAAAGATTGGATCAGTTGTACTTTTTCTGTGGAATACTTGATGCGACCCAGCCTCACCCAGACTCTACCTCCAGTGGCCCCTCGGTAAGTTGAGTTTGAGACCCCTGCTTTAATGTGATTACTTTTTCAAAGCCATTAAGCTAGAAAGAGCTGCCCTCTGTCTTCCAAACAGCTGATTCCAATGTGAGCTGTTTTAACTTGGATCAGAGACTGTAGAGGACAAAGACAGACTGTGTAATAATTGGTCATATAAAAGTGAGAGTAGATTTGTTGGCTTGTCTAACTGGCTTCCCTGAAAGCAAAAACAACCA